AATTATCATCTTCCGCAGATGACGTTTTCAAGCAGAATGATCACAAACAACAACAGCAGCAGCAGCAGCCACTGAGCGTTAAGAAGCAGTCTAAACGTGATAGAAAAGATTCAGAAACACCACTGAGCCAGACTTGCATGGTTGAAAAGATGAAGGAAGACTCGTCTAAAGAAGAAACAATCGTGAAGGCAGTCGAGGCCATCATTGAGCCTGCATCCAGAGATTCTATGATGCCTGAAAAAAATAAACTAGACCTTCCCATGAATAGTAATTTGTTCTCGAATGTTCTCAATCTCGACAAGACATCTCCTCCCATGATTACTCCCCTGTTCTCTGCAGACCATAAGAAGGCAGACGATTCTCTGCTGATGGAGCAGTCTGCCAGCATAGAGCAGCCCGTCTTCGACGACGCCGACACGGAGAACAACTCTGAAGAACTCAACATGGCAATCAGTAACTTGATTGGCAACGCTGACGATGACGAAGACGATGAGGGTGACAATAATGGGAGTATTGGATCAAATTTTGTTAGCAACGTTGTCAATAAAACTTCAGATAGTACCCCGGATGAAATTCCCTCATCTGCCAGCACTGAGATAACTGCAGATGCATTCGAGTCGGAGAAGGGTAAGACACTGGCAGAGGAGGAGGATGATACTGCTTCCACCATGGACACTGAAGATCAGGAAACTTTTCCGACTGATGAAGAAGACAAAAGTGCCGTCAAAAATGAACAAGATGCGTCAGTTTCTGTTACCGAAGATTCAGATATCAGTAGCGATCCTAAAGTTAACAATGAAATAAAAGCCGATCAATCTAACAAATCAGACTCTGAGAGTAAGGTGACCAAAGAAACTGCTGAGTCATCAATGGGTCATAATGTTAAGCAGGAAACTCACGAGACCACTGATGTTGCAGGCCACGATTCAAAGGTTCATGATGATTTCAATGCAACTCTTCAGAAACCGTTCCAATCCGTCGGACATTTCATATCTTCCTTCAAGCCTGAGTTTAGGATGGACGAGGAGATGGATTGCGCAGGGATTGAGCCAATGGGGGCGTTAAGTGAAGTTGCAGATATTCCAAAGTTGTTGGAGGCTGCTAACGTCTGCTCAATCAACTCCATCTCCTCTAAAGATGCTAGTTCTGACGATGTCAAAGATGCTGCTGTGCCGACTGCTGAAGATAAGTGCGAAGAAGGCAAACCACTGCAAAAATCTACTGACGGTTCATCTAAAAATCATAAAAAAAGATCGGCGGAGAGTGATCGTGAAGAGGAAGATGACAACAAGATGATTATAATGGCTGCTGGTGAGGACAATGCTCATAATGATAATAAAGTAGATACGAATGATGATGACCAAGGCAATGAAGCTGATGGTCTCGTGCAACAAGCCAAGCGTATGAGGAAAGGCTCGATCAATGAAAGTATTTGCTCGGCTTCATCTCAAGCAACAATATTCCAAACATCATCTTCCTCTTCCCTACTGACTACGCCCTCCTTCCTCCAACCACAATCTGCTTTCACGCCACTGCAGCAACTTTCATCATCGCCATCAACATCGAGTTTGACATCACCGATCAGCTGTAGCATCGCCAGCAGTTCATCGCTGGCAGACTCCCACAAACCGAGCGGCAAACTCTCCGAGAATTTGTTTCAACAGTTCTCAGTATCTACGTCGGCGTTGTTTTCATCATTCTCGTCCTCACTGGCCTCATCGTCGTCCTTGTCGTCGCCATTTACCACCGCCTCCATCTTTGCGAATGCTACCGGCGTTGAGACATTATTCTCCGCATTATCATCGTCGTCATCTTTGTTGTCGTTATCAATGACGCCAGCATCCGTAGCGGCCAGCGTGCCTTTCAAGAGTTCAGTTATATTTCCGTCTGTGGCACACGAACATACAGATTTTGCCGCTCTACAGCAACAGCACCAGAAGATGACAACTCCTATGTTTTCATCGTCAGCCTCCTTGTCCTCGTCCTCCACAGCATTACCGGATTCGATCGCATCGTCTTCGTCATCAGCGTTTGGATTATTTTTATTTCCTTCATCTACTCAATCTTCTTTGATGACGTTTTCATCTTCGTCCAATCAGCACCCACAATCAACGACGTCATTCATCACACCTTCATCCGTTTCATCCTTATCAAAGTCCTCATCGTCGTCGTCATCTTCGTCGTCGCCGTCAACTACTTCCACTTCCTGTGCTGGTTCAAAGCAGCCAACTTCAGCATCACTACCACCACATTCAGCATCTCTGTCATCATCTTCTTCGGCCAATATCTCTCCGATGTTATCATCAGCAGTAGCATCATCTTCACTTTTCCCTACCAGCGTCACTTCACTTCATCCCCCTGCTGCCTCGCCATCCTCTTCCATCCCTTTGTCATCGTCCTCTTCTTCCACACCGTCGTCAACCTTCTTACACGTCTCAACAAACATCGAGAAACTTCCGTCGTCATCATCGCGATTGTCCTCACCGACAGCCAAGCCATCGTGGGAGACCAACATGGACAAGGTGATTGAGGACGTATCGAAGGGACACTTCAACAGGGGATACGAGTCCAACTTCTACGCGTCTCAGAGGAAAGCAAAGCCCTCCAGATCTCGGGAGAACTCCTTCTCGTCATCGTCATCCTCGTCTCTGTCCACCACACCTCCACATAGCGGCAACTGTCCGCCATCCCAGCTACAACAACCACATCTGTTGCAGCAACAAAATATGCAACAGTTGCAGCAACAATATCATCTTTCTCCTAGGGCATCTTCTGCAGCCTCTTCACAGTCTCAACAACAACAACAACAGCAGCAGCAACATAGATCGACACATGTTTCCCAACAACCTCATCTTCAACAACAGCAGCAGCTATCATTCAACCAGACGATTCCTGCTTCTGTCAGTAATCTCTTGTATCAGCAGCAGCAGCAACAACATCCACAACACAACATGCAGCAGCAGCAGCAACAACAACATCCACAACACAACATGCAACAACAACAGCATCACCAGCAACAACAACAACAACATCACCAGCAACAGCAACAACAACAGCATCACCAACAACAGCAGCAACAACACTTACCTGACCAACCATCTCCACAAATAGCTAAAATGACTGGTCCAGGTTTGATTCAGGTATGTTGGTCTCTTCATACTTCAAAGATTTCCTATATCGTTTCATTTTGTTTGATCAATTTTCAAATACATCTTTTTTTTATTCTTTTATTTTTTTTCTCGCTTTTTATTTATTCACATTTACGAAAATTTTGAACTCAGGTGTCAGTAAGTAACATCCCATCGAAACAACAACTGCAGATGTACTCAGCTGGTGTAGCTGCAGCTCAGCAGTTCGCAGCAACGTCCCAACTTCAACAACAACAACAGCAGCAGCAACAAAAACATCAAAACAACACATCTTCTTTGTTGGTCATGACTCCAGAACTACTTGCCATCCATCATCAACAGCAAAATCTGCAACAGCAGCAGCAGCAGCAAGTTCGTTTATCACATCCGCCAGTCGGCATGGTTGTTGGCAATTTCAAAACATCATCATCATCTGCCAACAACAACAACAATAATAATAATAATAACAACAACAATAATAATAATAATAAGGATATCCTGCAACAGCAGCAACTGCAGCAGCAACAATTCTTGATGCAGTCAAATTTATTTCTGCAGCAGCAGCAACAACAACAACAAACTCGTTCCATCAAAGAGAACTCACTAATGTCCCCATCGCTACCATCATCCACCACCACCAACAACAACAATGTTGAAAATGTTTCTCAACAAAAATGGCCGTCTGTGACGTCATCAAGTGGTGTAAGCAACAACAACAACAACAATGAGGAACAGAAGTTTATTAATGCTCCCACTATAAACTCATCTCAAACCAAGGTTGGAGTAGAAATTTTTTTCTATGGTCGCCATTATTTTTCTCCTTCTTATTGTTGTTATTGTTTGTATTTATTTATTTATCATTCACACTATAAGAATGTGCGTAATTGGGTTACTTTTATTCTACAGCCACAACAGCAGCAGCAACAACATCGAATGGATAACAACAGCAGCAACCTGTCTACTCAACAACACCAGCAACAACTATTACAACAGCAAATGTTACTGCAACAACAACAGCAACAGCTTCAACAACAGCAGCAGCAGCAACAAAAAACATCAAACTCACCTATGCAAAATCAACTGCCTACCAACAACGTCAACACTCACAACCAGCAGCAACAACTGCAGCAACAGCAGCTGCAACATCAGCAACTGCAGCAACAACAACAACTAACAAATCTCATGCAACAAGAATTTTTAAGAGGCAGTTTGGTTTATAGACCAACATTAGGTAACATTGGAGGTCTCGAAAATTCTGCCAGACATTTTTCACCTAAAAATGTCGAAGGCTTGCAACTACAAGGTCATTATTGTTTTTATTATTATTATCATTGTTCATTATTTTTGTAGTTTTTGTTGTCATTATTATTATTGTTGTTGTTTGTGATAATTAATCATACATTCATACTTTCCTATGTCTTTCTAGCTGCCAATCAAAGACTGATGAACGTGCAGCAGCAGTTATCGTCATCATTATCCCCGTCATCTTCTTTGACAGCGATTGCATCAACGACATCAATAACATCTCACAACACGCCAACAACAACATCTGACAACTGTAGCAGATCACAAATGAAAAATGACCGTCAACAACAACTGTTTGTCCGGCCGATTTTAGCTGTCCAACGACAACCACAACAACAAAATTTACCATCAACAACTTCAACTGCAAATCAACTACACTTATCAACAAATTTAGCTGCCGAGTTCCAAAGCTCTTCAGCAACCTCGTCGTCTGCATCATCGTCCTCATCATCAACTCCATCACCCATCATCATTGGTCAGCACAGAATGCCCTTTGCTGTCAAAGAACCGAGATTATCGAATAATCAGCCTCGGGCGGAACCAAAGATGCAAAATAATCCTCCACAACAACAACAACAACAGCCCATGGTAATGATTACCTCTTCCAACAACAACCAGCAACAACAAAACAGCTCAACATCTCCGTCAGCCAATAGCAATCAACAACAGCAGCAGCAGTTGAATTTGTTCACTCGACTTTCTACTCCAGCCGTCAACATCATCGGATCAGCTATGATGTTGCCACAGCAACAACAATTACAGCAACAACAACAATTACAGCAACAACAACAATTACAGCAACATCAACAACAGTTACAGCAACAACAACAGTTACAGCAACAACAGCAGCAGCACTTGTTGGAAAAATCATTCCTAATTAATCCATTGCCACAACAGCAGCAACTTCAACAGCAACAACTTCAACAACTACAGCAGCAGCAGCAACAACAACAACAGCGTTTTATACAACCAGCCACTGTTTTCCAATATTCTTCACAGGTTCGATTTTTTTTCATCACAAACGCCATCTCAAATCTTTGTCATTCTTTTGATTTTTTATAATATTTATATTACGTATAATATTTATTATTATAATTATAATCATAATTTCATAATTATGATCAGGGTCAGCCAGTTAACCTACACCACCTAGCAAATCCCGGTCAAATTGAATTTTTTGTTGCCGGAAATCACGTAGTCGCCCCTCTGATTCAAACGCTCCCCGCGCAGACGGACCGAATATTGCAGCAGCAGCAGCAACAACAACAACAAAATTTACGATCTGTAGTGAACCACCTACAACCGGGTTCGATTGCGCAACAGGGCAGTCCGGAAAACTTCCAGAGAAATATGCTGGTTAGTTTGGTTTTCGGGAGTTGCTGGCCAGACTAGTTGATTGATTGATTGAATAATTGATTGAATAATTGATTGAATAATTGATTGATTGATTGATTGATTGATTGACATGATAAATGATTGATTTAATGATTGATTAAATGATTGAATGAATGATTGATTCAAACTAGCAACAACCACCAACTCACCAACAACAACAGAACAAGCCAATAGTGTGGCAGGGTATGCTAGCACTTAAGAACGACAGTGCCACGGTGCAGATGCACTACGTGTCCGGCAGTGATGCACTCATCAAGGCCTCACTCCCCGACAACATGACCACGCTACGGATAGCCCAGAGGATGAGATTGGAGCCCAACCAGCTGGAACAAGTTACCAAACGAATGGTTCGTACTATTGGTGACATTTTTGTTTGCTTTTTTTTTAAATATTAATTATTAATAAAAAAAAAAAACAAAAAATGATACCCCACCAAACTAGGCCGAATCGGAATACACCATGTTGTTAGCCGTACCCTCGGGCCATGATCACGTGGGCCTCATGACGCAGAGCCACAACCTACAGATGTATTTCATTCAGTACCTCCAACAGAAGCAGGCCGCCGGCATTGTTAACATATTCCAACCTAATACTAATCAGGTTTGCTGGGTGTTTGTGAGTTGTGTGTTTGTTCGTTCGTTCGTTCGATTGTTCGTTCGTCTGTTTGTCACACAACATCAGTAGCATGAGTTCATAGCATCAATAACATCATTACAGGCTGCCTACGTGGTCCACATATTTCCACCATGCGAATTTTCACTTGGGAGTCTGAGATCCAAGCTGTCTCCAGAGGCCCTCCACAGTTTAACTGACGGTGGCTATCTTCTCATCATCATCACCACTTGCTAATGTAATCATATATATATATATATATATATATACATATATATATATATATATATATATACATATATATATATATATATATATATATGTGTGTGTGTGTGTGTGTGTGTACGTGTGTGTGGTGAAGATAATGAATTTAAAATATTAATAATGTTTGTATGTGTGTGTATATCATATATATTGTATATTTATATATATATGTGTGTATGTGTATATATATATATATATTGTGTGTATATTTATAAGTTAAACTGTGATGTGTAAATAAATAAACTGTACATATAAAATAAATATATATATAAGTGTATATACTATACATTCGTAATATGTAATGTCATGTCATGCGTTATTTTGACAAAAATTTGGCAACTATGATGATGATGATGATGTTAGCGATGGTAGAGATGATGATGATGCTATAATTGATGGTAATGATAATGATGATGATGATGATGATAACACTCAATGGCGATGAATGATGACGATGTTTATTATGTATTCGGAGTTTTCAAATTAATTGAATGAATTATATACCTATAATTTTAATAATAACTTATTGATAAACTGAGCCTAAATTATATTAAATCACTGAAGTAAAGGTATTTACGTATAATTGTTTACTGTTTTGGGAAAGCTTTTTGATTGGTTGACGTCATCTCCTAGGCCAGTTCAGAACGACCTAGATGAATATTAATTAGCTTATTAGTTGTTCGAACGGATTTTAACTTGGTTTAATTTTTATGAGTTTCTTATTTAGTTCTCGTTTGTTTTCTTCCTCGTTTGTATGTGTGTTATATGTATATATGTGTGTATATATGTGTGTGTATATATGCGTGTACTGCTGTATGAGTGTGTGTTTGTTTGCTTGATTGTAAGTTTAGTATGATGGTAACGTGATACTGCTATGTATATATATAAGTATAATGATATATATATATATATATATATATATATATATGTGTGTGTGTGTGTATGTGTACACGTTTAAAGAACAGGATTTTGTTTTATTTTTGTATTATGTTCAATGTACACTCTCTCTCTCTCTCTCTCTCTCTCTCTATATATATATATATATATATATATATATACATTTATATATGTGTGTATATATATATATATATATTGAAATATGTTGAAATAGGTTTTATTTACCTTTTTGTTTCCCTCGTTTTTTTGATTTTTGAAATGAAGAACCGTGGATGACTTCATTAAGAAAAGCGACATATTGGCATGTTCGCTATACACGCGAGCAGCATTCATCATTCATAAACTCTTGTTTAAAGGACATCAAATGTATTGAACGACTTATTAAAACGTAGATATGTATATATGTATATGTATCACAAATAACAAAAGCAAGCTGGCTAATAACATTAATAAAGAATATATATATATGTGTGTGTGTGTATGTGTGCTTATACGCTTGTATGTATGTGTGTGTGTATGTATTTATAAAGACAACAATAATAAACTAAGCAGTCTGGAACACAAAAGTACAACTAATGTATGTAAATTCACTGGCACACGTGTACGCGTAATGTGTGTACATCGTACAATACAATGTACATGCATTTCAGATGGGTTTTTTTACTGGATTCTATCAATAAAACGAATCTTATAATCGGCAGGCTTTAGTGACACATCCATAACTTGCTCGTAGCGCACTTGGTTGTTTTCAGCTTGTGACGATTTCTGGAATGGCTTTGGGAGTGTCGGTATTTGATCTGAGTTTTCTTCAACGCTGGATGGGACAATTTGAAAACGTTGGAGTGTGCAAGTTAGAAATAGGAAGACTTCGTGTCTGGCTAGTATTTCACCAGTGCATGATCTCTTGCCTGTTATTGGTTCAAAAAAAAGTTCAATCAATTAATCGTTTGTGTGCGCGTGTGTGTGTGCACGCGCCTGTGTGGTTAAATGCCTCTGATTAGTCGTTTTAGTATTGCAAAAATGAATGTTTAATTTTCACCAACCCACTGAAAAGTTAATGACTGCCTCCTTATTAATGACGCTACTACCATCTTCTGATAAAAACCTTTCAGGCCTAAATACGTCAGGATCGCCCCATGTCTTTGCTCCTTTCAGAGCGCTGTACAAATTTCCAAATACCTATTTAATAAATTAATTAATTAGAATTATTCTAAATTTAAATAGGAAATATAAAATATTTAGTTAAATTATTGGAGTATAACGCCTATAAATGATAAAAAATTAACCAGAAAAATCGCAAATATAGTACACGAAATTCCTGTAAAATAATCACTAACCGTTGTACCAGCTGGTATAAAGTACCCCAGTACCTCCGTATCTTTAGTGGTGCAATGAGGAATTGCTAAGGGGGTTACTGGTTTATACCTGTGTGAATATAACCATTAGCGTAGTATATTTTCTTATTACCACATAATCGTACATTTATTCCGTCAAAGAAGACACACAAATTTGGCGTTTGAATGAAAATTCTCAACTATAATTGTCGGGTCGCACCTCATGATTTCGTATATTGTCGCTTCGACATACGGCATGTGACTCTTGTCAGACAATGAAGGCATTCTTCTTCTACCTGTAACTTTTTCAATATCCTATTAAAAAATGTATTTCTCAAGTGTTGATATGTATAGTAATTATTTCAAGAACTAAGTGCTAAATAAATGATGACGCAATATCATTTCTGTTATTACTACTAGTAGGAATAGTAGCAGTAGAAGTAGTAGTAGTAGAAGTAGAGTAGTAGTAGTAGTAGGTGTGGTTTTTGTTTTTCATTCATACATACATGTACTCGTTCATTCATCTATTGATATGAATCTTTAAAAACAAATTTATTTATTCATTTGTGTTTTGAGCTTACAGCAATATAAATAACGATAAAACCTATCTCAAACGTGTAACGTCAAAGAGAAACTTTAACCTGATAGCATCTATCTTGTACATGCTGGTAACTGGCCATCATAATGAAGGCCCATTCAAGAGTTGAAACTGTTGTCTCCGTACCTGCCTTGAATAAATCATTCAGAGTTAGAATTAGCTGTTCTCTGTCGTAATTTTCTTCTTCTTTTTTAACTTTGCTGTCTCCAATTTTTTCTTCACCATCACTAACGCCATTTTTATTTTCACCATTTGTTTCTGTATTCTCATTCTTGTTGGTGGTGACGGTTGTTGTTGGGTTAGAGATATTTCCACCTAATGCTGTGTTGTGTTTTCTGTGCACTAAATTTGGTGGGAATGAATCTTGGGGGAGATTTCTGTTGAGAAAGTTTTGACTGGTTTCTCTACGTTCTCTGCTATCCTCTTTGATGAATTCACAGATGAAATTGTCTTCATTATCACTTTCCAGACACTTATCAATAAAACCATCCATCAAGTTGTAGATATCTCTTTTTAACTGAAAGATAAAATGGAGTGTTTAAATTATTTATGGGCTCATTAAGTTTTGTTTCAGTTTAATAATCTTTTGTTTTTTAAAAATTCAGATTAGCAAGCTACAACATTCTCATTCACATTACCTTCTTTCCTCTTTCCAAAGCTCTTTTGAACTTTGGAACAAATCTGAGGAAAGGAAAAAAGTTGACAACTACAAGTTCTTTGAATTCAGCAAATGACCTCCTAATAAGATCAACAACTGCATCTCTGTCTACATCTTCAGGCTCGAATTTCTTACCAAGTAGCAAACCTGTGATAACATTGAGAACGTGTTGGAAGAGTAGAAGTTTAGGACATAATGGCTCCCCACTCAGTGTCTGAAGTTCTTTAATGAAAGAATTCATTTCATCGTGAATTCGATTCTCCATTATTTTACTTCCAAATCCAAACTTTCTCAAAATGTTGATTGTCAGTTTGTGGTAAAGTCTGAAGTCATCGTCGTACTGACGTACAATAATTCCTAGATAATTAAAATAATGACATTCTTATTTTGATATACAAATAATCTCATAAAGTTGATAACAAAACCTTTTCTAGTTTTCTTTAAAAATTCATCAAACTTAAACTTTGGCCTGCCAGCAAAATCAGAGCCTTTCTGCACAAAAGCATCCTGAATTGCCTCCTTCCCAATCAACATCACAACGTACCTTGCATACAAAAGGTATAAAAAAAACTTGTATTATTAAGAAATAGCAAAAATCAACAAAAATTGAATTATTTATTTACTCGTTTGCAAAATGAATCGCAACCACGGGTCCGTATCTGTCCGCATTCTCAGTGAAAAACTCATGCAAGTTGGAGAATTTTGGCAAAAATGGCATGGAACCGACAACTGGGATGGAGGGAAAACATGGTGGAAACTTGAGAGCACGTCTGCACTCTTTCGATTTCGATTTTAATCTACTTTTTAACTTAATAATTTTGTTTATTCTCTTCACGACGATCGTGACTAAAATTAGTGCGGTCGTCATCAAAAAAACTGTTCTGCCGTTTGGCAACTTCAAGCTTTTTAACAAATCGATCGTTAACATTTTGTTAATTTATCGTTCAAATTTCATCAAACTGAATCAAAAATAGTTAAATTTACTCATTTGCGCATAAATATCCATTTTACTACTTTTAACGGTTAAGTTAACTTTTCATTTCAGCATATTAACAGCTGATTTTTAAATTTGACCATAGAGTCGAACCATAGGCTAACCATAGACTTTCAACAAAATCAACTATTCATGCTTAAATGCACGCTTATGGTACAAAAATACACACGTAAAATAGCAATTACATTTAGTTACTACGTGTATAAAATGTATCGGAAGCCATAAATCAATTTTATCTGCCACTTGTCACTTCATCTTCACTCATCTCATTGATTTCTCGTTCCGTGCATCCGTTAACAATCTCATTCAAATAATATACACATACATAATATACATATAAACCATATACTTGGAATAAACATACGAAGACATCTACATGACCTGCATCAAACGAGCTCTTTCATTTGTCGCTCCAACTGTACGTGCGTACACGCACACACATATCCATAAACACATGCATACACATATACACAAACACCTATACACACCTATACACACACACACAGGCACGCACGCACACACACACAAATGTGTTTGGCACAAGAGCTAGTATGAACACAGAAGAAGCAGCAGAGTCAAGAGGGTACAGGTGATATTGTAAAGTCAATAACGAAATGGAGCGTGCATTAGAAATATCCGTTGTTAAAAATTGTCACAAAATTATTTTTATTTGCACTGTGAGTTAGCAACCAACTGTTGTTTGTAGCAACCTGGTTCGTCAAATTTATATTCTGCGTACCTTCCCCTTCCTTCCTAACTACATACCTACATGTTATGAATTGGTATAAATTTGAGAGCACTTTCCTTTAAAACTGAGAACGAATTGAAAGTATCTGGTTTATTAGCATTAATATTAAACATATACATGTTTGTTATTTGGTATGTTGGTATTGTATATAATGTTTGCTATTTGTATAGTAGAAAGTGAATAACTTTTTAGCTCTTTTGTGTTTGTCGAACTAAGTGTAATGAAATGTAAACTGTGTATATATATTTTTTATTCTTCATGCCACGAGTGAATCACTTGAAATTTTGCATCTGACGTTGGGGATATTTAAAAAAATAATAGAAATAATAATTTTGGTCTTTCTGTTTCTGTTTATCTAAAAATATAAATAAACACATTGTATTTCTGTTTGATGTAGTTACAGTGACTTTATTGGGCATTTTTATTTATGGGAAAATGTGAAACTGAATAACTTAATTACAAATCTTAATCTTATTTAATTAATAATTAAAATAAAACATTTTATTGTTTTAAAACTTAAAAAAACCTAATAAAACCAATGAACGAAAGAGAACTAGAACTTGCACGCAGCAAACAGAAACTGCGCCAACTCGAGAAAGATGTCCTAGCATTGAAGGAAATCATTCATAATTACGAATCTGACATCGTAAAATCAAACAAAAGGCAAAGAGAGTTTGAAAGTGAAAGGCTTTCAACGACCAAAAAGCAAAACCACCTCGATGGTCTTGGTCTACTCGAAGATCTACTGACCAATGATGACCAAGATAACGAGAGAATTGACCTTACCAAACCCTACAATCACCTGCAAGAACAATATGGCAAGTATTTCTACAAGATTTTAACACCCAAAAATTTGAAAATAAATTTAATAAAATGAAATTCTAAAATCAAAATCTTGAGAAATTAACATTACGAGTAAACATTATTAACGAGTTAGTAGGTGGTATGATGATACTTTTTCCTCATTTCTGGAAAAAAAAACATTTTTACATACTTAAATTCAACAAAACTAAATAAATGCTGAACATTTATAAAAGTACCAGCGTTGTACAAATAAAAGTGCTATTCATCATAACTTATTGAAAAGATTCATTTTATACTGAACCTATCATTACATCATCACACCAAATTACGAAAACCACACGACATCAGTCACGTGACGCAATATAAATCAATGACGTCATTTTTCTACCGGAACAGAAACCATGAAAGAGCGGATGTCGTTGCAGGCTGACGAGATAAAAATTTACAGAGATCGAGTTCTGCGGCTTCAAGATCAATTAATACAGGTAGGATTCACAGACACACTTTCTTCTACTACCACTACTACTACTACTACTACTACTACTACTACTACTACTACTACTTCCATTACTACTACTACTACTACCACTACTACTACTCCTGCTACTACTACTACTAATACTGCTACTACTACTACTACTACTGCCACTACTACTACTACTACTACTGCTGCTGCTGCTGTTGCTGCTGCTGCTACTACTACTACTATTACTACTACTACTACTACTACTAATAATAATAATAATGCTTCTTCTTCTATTACTACTACTAAGATTACTACTATTACTACTATCATTGACATATTTCAACTATATTTATTGTTAAATCTTAAACGTAAATCCATTGTAGACGCAATTTCTTTGCAGTAAACCTTTCAATCATCAACTTCTTTTTATTCCAGAAAAATGACAACGAAAAAAGATTTCTAAAAAAATCATCAGCAGGCGTCAAATCGTCGATGAAGCAGAGCAGCAGCGGCAGCGGCAACTACAACAACGACGACCTCGAGAAACAGCTGGAAGATCGTATCACAAAAGTCAGGAGCCTGGAAGAGGCATACCGGAAGCAGGAAAAAGTTATAGAGAAGATGGAGCTGCTAATAAGGCAACAGAACCTCAGCAGAGGTTGTTTTGTAGTGACTGGTGGCTAGTTTCGCCAAGGCATGCCTTGGCGATCTTCAACCTTATCTAATTTTCTAATCTCATTTTGTATCTTTATAAAATGGCAAGGCCTCTCTTTTTTCCTTCTGTACTTTCTACTAGTTAAGGGAAAGTTGGATTCAATTTTTTTCATATATCATTATGGGATTTTTTTTTTGTTAGGACATTTTTATTAAACTGTTTATTTGCAGTTTTTGGTGTGGTTTATGACTAAATAGAAATTTTGTTAAATATATAAGTGAGATTTTAAAATTTGGAATCACCAAACACCGTTGAATCACATTGCTGTTACTAAACATTATTTAGAGTTTCAAAATAATTAAAAAAAAATAATATTTCAAAATTTAAAATTACAGTTAAGAAATTGGAGAGCAAGATATCTGCACTGGAGAGCGAGAACAGAGATTTGAAGAAAGAGGTGAGCGACTTGAAAAAGTCAAAAAATAAGAATCAGTTCGATCAGAAGCAACAGCACCAACATGAAAAGGACAGAAAAAATAGTTCGGACGCAGATAAAAACGACGACGATGGCGTCCGAGGTGACGTCACGAACGATAGAAATCGAAACGATACGAAACGCGTTAACGGTCTCAAGATGAATGGCAATTTAGATAACTCGCGCAAGTTCCAAAAACAGACAAACGTTCAAGACGACGATGATGCTGATTTTAGTTTAAAAAATAAATATGAAGAAGCCGAAACGAGAATAAAGGAACTCGAAAAACAGGTAAAATAATAATAATAAATAATGAATAATAATAATAAACAATAATAACCAATTTAGCTATCAGAAGCAACAAAAATGTGGTCCAATGAAAAAACGGATTTAGTGGCCAAGCTAAGGAATGCTGAACATTCACTTTACGGTAATAACATATACAGAAACGAGATAAAAAATAATTACATGTCTAGAAAGTACGATGGTGAAGAGAGTGAAGATGGTGACTTTGCTAGGGATAATCTTATTTCTTTCCCTAGTTTCAGTGAAATTCATCCTTCAGTTTGTTAAATTTTAGTTTTCCTGACTTAGTTTTCGTTCCTCTGTTTTGTTTTTGAAATTATTTTCGTGTAAATTTCGTTTCTGCTTTCAATTATTTTTATAATTTTATTATTATTTTTTAATTTTTAAATTTGCCTGATCGCTATAATTTCAAATGCAATGAGTTTATTTACTATGGTATTTATTTGATGATAAAAATCACATCCCTATTTCAGAATGACGTCATCGATGATTACTACCTGAGATGTTCTTCCGTTGAGGATCACGACTTCCGCAATTACGACGATCATCAACATAACAACCATTATAACAACAATTATCATCATCATCATCGCCCCGACAAACTTAACAATCATCATCATTACGACCACAATAATATTCATCACCATCATCATCGTCTTTACAAACAACAACAACGACAACAACCAAATCAACAACAAAATCAACATGTAAACTATTCCAAACATCAGTGTCATCAACAACCCCAACAACAAAGACATCAACACACTCACCTAAATTTGCTACGCAGAGAGCAATCACTGCAATCATTCAAATTATGATTGCTAATTAGGAATATTATAAATTTGATTACTTAATAATACAATAAATTAATTATATATATTGACAATAGCAAAATACTACACGCATTATTTAATTCAATTTTAATTTAAGCCGTTAAACATTGGGTTGGTGCAAACCTAACTAATGTCGGTTTCGCCTTACCTACGTAAATTTTGAAATTAATTTTACATCTTGTTTAAGTATATTAAAAATTTGATTGAAAATTCTATTGTGTTTGTTTTCGTGCAAAATTTGTGCAAGATGATGCAACTGGCGACTGTTTGGTGGTCTGATGATGACGTTGATGACATCATAGTCTGATGTCTTTGATTGATGATGACATCATAGTTTTTTTTAAACCTGGACAAACAATTAATTCAAAGATGAACTGCCAACAAATTGATGAGATGCCTGAAAAATTGAGTCAACTGTTCCTTGGCATCGATCAAACAGAAGGGACCTAATACCAAACATCAAGTCCTACAACGGACGTTAAACAACCTGAACGCACTGGGTTGCTATGTTCTGCTTCATTTACCATATTTACCAGACCTCTCAATAACGAATTACCATTTTTTCGAACACTTCAACTACATTTTGTAGGAGCAGTCCTTTAAAACTAAAGAGGCCACGAAAAATATATATATGGGCTGTACGAGACCAATATTTTTTTTCGTCAGCACAAGCATGACCTATATTGGTTGATTGATTGGTTGGTTGGTTGGCTGACTGACCGACCGACTGACTGACTGACTGACTGACTGACTGACCGACCGATCGACCGATCGACCGACCGACCGACCGACCGACCGACTGACTGATTGATTGATTTATAATAAAATGATGACTCATTTTGATATAGTGCTCATATTCTATACATATATATAATAATTTGGATAACTATATATAACAGGGGTGGGCAAACTACGGCCCGCGGGCCACATGCGGCCCGCAAAGCTATTTTATGTGGCCCGCCCGCGTGACCTTGCTCGCTTAATAAAAGGTCGTCAACCAGACATTATGACCAAAAAAAGGAGCCACAAATCTTAAAAAATTCTCCCCGGGTCGAAAAAATTTGCTATTTAAGTACATATGCGGCCCTTCAAAAATAAATTGTTCTCAATGCGGCCCTCACAGCAAAAAGTTTGCCTACTCCTGATATATAATATAGTCTCGTTTAAATAGCTCAAGTATAAAGGTTAAAAGTAAACTAATATAAAACAGAATAGTACACAAATTTGGGGTTATTAGTGATACTGAAAATGTTTTACATTCACGTTAGCTTCACCAACGTTTTCTTCTTTATATTTGCGAAATGAAAAACTATTAAATATTTAATTTAGTAAATAAATATTAATATTTTTAAATATTGATTATTAAAAAACTAAAATATTAATAAATAGATGAGTGATTAATTTTATTCCGGCGTACTTTTTATTCTAACTAGTGATTGTTTTTGCAATTTTAAATTATTTCTTCTTGGATGTCAATTTTTTGAGATTTAAATTTAATTGAATTAATTTTAATGAAAATAGCAAAACTGATTGAGAATTAGGTCAGACTACGTCACATCTAGACATCAGTCACTGGTAAAAAGTGCATTTGAAGACAATGGGGCATGTTGGAGGAGATTGTTAGTACTTGATGCTGATCATGATCATAATCTGTTTTTTTAATTAAATTATTTTATTTTATTCAGTTTAGTATATAATGTTATGCTTTGCTAATCTCTTCTCAAAGATATTTTCATTAACTTTAAAATTTGATAATATAAAAATTGGTCTACTTTGTTTACTTATTTTACTCTACTAGTTTAGTTACCAGTTAGAGTAGTTTCAAATTTTAAAAAATTAAATAACAACAACAAAAATATAATGTAAAAAGTACCAATCTACTTTTTCTACCACTCAAATATACTACTATTGAGATATGTAATTCCCCATCACAGAAATGTAATACATCCCACTACTAATTAATAGTGAATTACTGGCCATATATTTCTCCTTTCTTAACATTTATTTTGAACAATGAGGAGAAAACATTGTTAAAAGAGTATTGATGTAAGAACATTGTGGAAGAAAATTATTGTGTAAAAACCTTGAGAAAGAACATTGTGGAAAAACATTGAGCATACTTTGAGTTAGTTTTAGTTTAGTAAATTGAAAAATTGGCTTATTATCTTTATTAATGTGTGTGTGCGCGTGTGTGTCTGGTGTAATATATATATATAATATATATATACATTTACTTATTTATTTATATAATGTGCAGTTTTAAAATTTGTGTCACTTATATATTGTATATAATTAGATTGAGTTTAAAAAATAATTTGATTTTCAGTAACACCATAAGGACATATAATGGTTGTGCAGAGTGGAATGTTCTTTCAATTCAAATAATTTAATTTAATCAAATCAGGCTTGTATGTATTGCTATTAAATTGCAAATAAGATTTGAAGTTTAGAGGTTGGACTTTGCTGCTGTTTATGTTTAGGCTTAATTTAATTAACATTAGATAAAATCTGTCTAAAAGTACACACATACATACCGAAAAACATACAAACAAGCGTTCTTACATACATACATACATTCATACACACATACATACACAAACACACATACATACATACATACATACGTACACACATACATATGAAACAAAATTTTATTTGCTTCTCAAAATTGAAAATTAAAAGTTAAAATTAAAATACATACAAACACACATACAAACATGCATACATACCTGACATACATAAATACATACATACATACATTTGCATAGTTATTATATGTTTGTGTTCATCAGTGTTTCAGTTAAAATTTGAGTTGTTGGTAAAACTAATGAAGCATTGAAAATGGAATTTGTAAAGACAATGATGATGATGATGATGATGATGAAGATGATGATGATAATTGTGATGCTGATGATGATGATGATTATGTGATGGATTGTCTGATGTTGAAAATGTTGTTGTTGGTCATGTTAATGATGATAACGATGACGATGATAATTGTGATGATGATAATAGTTTGTTACTTATGATGATGATGGTGATGGTGATGATTGGCCTGTTTCTAATGGAAAAAAACAACATTTAGTCATTGTTTATGAAATGATAATATAAATATAATCTTATGAAATGAAAATAATACACTTGAGTAATTGATATATATATATATATATATATGTGTGTGTGTGTGTGTGTGTGTTTGTGTGTGTGCGTGCGTGCGTGTGTGTGTGTGTACGAATGCTTGTATGTACCTGTGTATGTATGTATACATAGGCAGTTAGTTATGTTTCTTTTTCTAAGATTTTTCAACTCCATTGGGAGGTTATTTTATTAATATCAGGTGCACTATGATGGTGGTGGTGGTAGTAGCGGTAGTGAGGATGACGACCTCAAGATGATAATAATAATAATAATAACAACAGCAATAATAATAATAACAATAATAATAATAATAATGGAAATAATGAGAAAATGATTTAATTAGCATGGTGGCCAAAGAAATTTTTAAAGTTTCAAAGTAAATATTTTAATTAAAATCATTTATACATAGTTAGAGGATGTGATTATGTGATTACTGTTGTCTACATAAAGACATACACACACACATACATACATATATGTATACAGAAATACATACACACTTACATACATACGACATAGATACATACATTCATATATACATACATACATACGTTCATTCATACATACATACATACATAATCATGTTTGCATTAAAAACAAACATTTGTTTTCTGTTGAAATATAACAGAAAAATATCTTTTCATGTTAGTAAATCAAACAAAGGAGTTACCTCTTTATTTAGTTTTGTATTGTTTTTTTATGTTTTCATTTATGTTTGTATGTGTGTGCGTGTGTATGTGTGTGTGTATGTGTGTGTGTATGTGTGTGTTTGTTGTTTGTATTCTAATCTCACCACCATAATCAACCACATATAAATATTAATAGGACTTTTAGAATGAACAATGATGTTCAAACTATTTCAAGAATTTATTTTCAGTATGAAGCAATCATCAACTAGACTAGATTCATCATCATCATCATCATCATCATCATTACTGACACTCATTAGTTTGGCAGTTGTTTTTGTTTTCAAAAATTTGATGTGAATTATAGGTGGAATAGTAAACTTCTTCCTTTATTCAACTTAAGGGTCTCTTTCATACTTTCACTCTTTCTATCTATCTATCTATCTATCTATCTATCTATCTATCTATCTATCTATCTATCTATCTATCTATCTATCTATCTATCTATCTATCTATCTATTTCTCTTTATCATTTTCTTTTTGCTCTTTTTTTAAAACTTTGCTAACTTCCTTCAATTTTTCTTTACAATTTTATCCCCCCCTTTCTCTCTCTCTCTCTCTCTTTCTCTCACTTTCTCCTGTTTTTTTTCTTTCTTTCCTTTATTAAATCCTTCTTACATTCATCTTTTAGTTGGCCATGGAAGCAGAGGCTCCATAAAAAAAGATATTTTCATTTACATCCATCCCATCAGGCTTGTCACTGCCAGTCTCTGTAGAAGGAGAACTTCCTTTTGAATAATAAGTTGAAAGCCTCATTCATCACACATACATACATACATACATACACACACACATACATACATACATACATACGTAAACTTTTGTATGTATATACGAATATCCATTCATTTTTATACATTGCATCTATTCATTTGTCTGTATATGCAATACATATACATTTGCTGCTGTTGGCTACGTATCATCTACAACTATAATATTAGCAATCAACAATGTACCATTGACATTTTCATCTGCAAACAGCTGGGCCGTACTTAAATTGCAGTGAAACGACTACGTCATCATCTTCTACATTCTCTACATCCACTCCACTCAAGAAATCGGCGCCAAAATCCAAATGGCGGAGCAAGAAGAAGCAGAAGATAATTGTAGACGATCAGACGACTATCACCATAATAACGGAGTCTTCCAAGAAGAAGGGATTGTCTAATGACCGCAGTAACGTCGATAGCCCATCACTACTCGTGGCAGACTTTCCTGACTGCTCTAAGCTCTCTCCTGTTGCCAAGTTGCACGTGGAGACGGTCTCGCAACAACAAAATCATCAGCAACTGCAACAACAAAATCATCAACAACAGCAGTTAGCAACGTCCAACCAGCAGCAACAGTTTCAGCAACAGTTTCAGCAAGAAAGTCAACTTCAGCAGCAGCAGCAACAGCAGCTCGAAGAGCAGCAGAATTCGCCACATCATGATCTAAGTAGCAGGAAGGAGATGATTGAGATGCTGGACTGCGAAATAACTCTGGACTACCTACTGAGGAATGGAGCCATCAACATCGAGGAATTCAATCAACTTCGGGAAGACGAAGGATCCGCGCCATTCTACAACTACCATTACCAGGATCAAGATGGCGATCGCGATCATCATCATCATCGTCGTGTTGGTGGTGGTGGTGATACTGATGCTGATGTTCTTGCCGTTGATGAAGGTGGAGAAACGAAGAAGAATGGTGATGATGATGATGGTGATGGTGATAGGAAAGATGATGGGAAGAAGAAGAAGAAGAAAGGAATTAAAGGTAATGTTCTTAGTTGTGTTGATTAACAATAACCACACCCACATGCAAATGTACATGTTCATTATTCGCACATACACACAGACACATGTACAAAGAGAGAGAGAGAGAGAGAGAGAGAGAGAGAGGGGGGGGGAGAGGAGAGAGAGAGAGACAGAGGAGAGAGTATTAAGTTTAAAACAATTTATTTATATATTTGCTTTAGGCTTGTTAAACTTATTATTTGATCTGCCAACAATTATAATGAATGATTATAAATAATGACTATGCTTTTCTAAATTCTTCTTCTTTAAATAGGTCTGTTTGGCCTCTCATCATACACATTCAATTTGCAAAACAATCATTTCAGATAAGTGTAGCAGCAGCAGCAGTAGGAAAAAGCAGCCGGAATCAATTTGTAACAACAACAACGAAAATAACAAAGAAGCACAACCCAACAAAGACACGGCAGACTTCCAGTTGAAACAACTGGAGCAGCATAGACAACAAATGAAGAGGAACAAAAAATTACTCGAAATCATCGAGACGCGAGGTCTACACGGCAGAAACCTCTTCACTAACGCGCTCCGACTGACTGGCCAACATTTTCTGGCCAACATGGCAGACGATGGGGTGCGGATCAGGGCCCTTAGTGGCTCAGGGTATCTCAGCAAGTCCAGGCATAAAGGTTGCTGCCTTGGGGGTGTAATTTGTATTAAAGTTTATTTTTTCTGTTTTGAATTTTGTTTTTTTTTAGGTGGTTTAAACTTTGTTAATTTTTTTTCTATGGTTATTTGGTGTTTAGTGCCCCTTGTCACAAACTTCTTTTCATTTTTTATAGCCCGGTTTTTAAATTTTCAAGAGTTACTCTTTACTTTATAATTCAAAACCAAATTCACACACACATGCACGCACGCATAGACACACGCACAAATATCAACAAACGCACACACACACACTCACACACACACACGATCAAACAATAAAAAGCCAAAAAAAACTTCACCATGCGTAACTAGGTCAGGTCGAGTTATATATGCGGGTCAAATCAGTGCAGTCTATAGACGATGAGACCTTCAAGCTTGTATCCAGGATGCTACATAAGGATTGGATCAGTCTGCAAGATATCCAATCGAAATTTTCATCGCTAAGGAGGCAGCAGCAGCAGCGGAATTCGGCTCTCTTAAACGCCCAAATCATCGACCACCAACAGCAGCAGAATAATAATAAGAATAATAAAAAATCTTTTAATAATAAGAGAAATAATAATAATAAAAATGATGATGATGATAAGGGGGGTTGCTTTTGTTGCTGCTTTGGGAGGAATAAAATGAACGGTGCAGATGATGCGGTCATGTTTGAAAAAATGAAACTCAATAACTTGGACGTTAGTGATTTCGGGATAATGTAATTATTATTATTATTATTTATTATCGTTATTTATTATTATTATTATTATTACCATTATTGTTTTTGATAGAATGAATTTTCAGCAAAAATTTTTTAAATATTTTAAAATCCATCATTAAAAATAAGTTTGTCGTCGCAATATTAATGATACCACAATAGGATATAGTGATAGTACAGCAGCCCACAACAACTGCTACTACAAATAAAAATAGCCATGGGCAGGAAGCAGTTGGGCTCCGTGAGGACAGTTTTGACCATATAGATGGCGGTAGTGTTGAAGATTTGAAAAAAGTTTCAGACAGTATACAGAGGATTTGTCAGAGTGTTTACGATCAGTTTGCTGATAATCATTCACCTCTCAACGCTATGCTCGTTAGGTGTGCATGTGTGTGTGTGTGTGTGTGTCTATGTGTTTGTACGTGTGTGTTATCTGACTAGATAAATTTTTTTAAATTTTACTTTGATCAGCTCTATGGTGTTTAGTATTTATTTTTTGTTTAAAAGATCTCAGTTACGTAGAATTTTGTCTCGCTCTTTTGAGTCAGTGTTTGTTTGTTTGTATGCATGCGATTATGTGAGTATGCATGCGAGTATGTGACATCATCATGACGTCATCGTGTTGCAGGTACTTCGAGCAGGACAGGGGCGTGTTGATGCTGGAGACCAGCACATGCAACAACAAACTCCTCATCAAGTGCATATGTACTAAACTCGATCAGGTCCTCATGACGATGATTATGACGACGACGATGATGATAATAATTATGATAATAATAATTATGATAATAATAATTATGATAATAATAATTATGATAATAATAATTATGATGATGTAATTGTTACCAGGTCACGTCTATAGACCAAGACATATCGAGCAACCGTCTGGCGACGGACGTGGAAAAAATATTGACCCGCTTTTTGCAAGAGACAGCTCAAGATGATGAACGCATGACCCTGGAGTTCAAGGTCGCCCAAGGGTCATTGGATGAGATCAAAGTTGAACTGACCAATTGAATGAATGAATGAATGAGCAAGTGAATGAATAAACGACCGAATGGATGAACTCTGTTGATACATTCATTCATTTATTCATTCGTTTATTCATTCATTCATTCATTCATTTAATCGATCATTAGATCAACCAATCAATCATTCAATCGCGACAAATTAGTCAGTAGTTCGGGTACAGAATTTGAATTGAATTTACTTACGCGTGCATACAACGTTTATCAATCAGTGATGCTTTCTCATTTTACATGTTTGTAGCTTTTTAAACTAGTTTCGTTTTTACTATTTATGTAAAAAAAATGGTTTGCAAACAAAAACATTTTCATCTAAATTTATGTGAAAATTTTATTTCATTATGCTTCTGTGTGTGTGTGTGTGTGTGTGTGTGTGCGCGTGTGTTTGGATGACTTTTCATTGGCAGTATATTATCTCTTGTAAGAGTTGTCTTATATAAGATTACTTACTATGACGGAGTTTTAATCGTCATTTTCATCATGTAGAGGATTTGAATTTTGAATCTTTCGTTGATAGCACGATGATCTATTTCTTGGATCTTTTTTTTTACTTTCAAAAAATGGATCTTGTGTGATGATGGCATTTTTTCTATTCAATTATTATTACCTATCCTTGGTTATTTTATTTTTTTGTTTTTTGACTCGCTCATCCACAGTTCACTTTCGATTTCGTTTTTAAAAATGGAAGTACGTTTTAGTGGTTCTCCATTCATTCATTTATTTAGAGAGAGAAAATTAATTTTATAAAATTTTAAATTTTTTATAAGTTTCACAAGACTTAAAATTACTGTACATTTTTAACATCAACGACAATTTTATAAAACGTATATGTTCTATATATGAGGAAGAAAGAGATATATCAAGATACATATATATCTATATATATAATATGGATATCTATATGATGTACAACATGCGTATGTGATATACGTATATATATCTGTCAGATGTTATTTTTATACGAAATTTTTTAATGTTAAAGCTTATGATAGATACCTATTCGTGTATTTTATTTATCCATATATGCAATATCATTGCCATATATAATATATATATTATATTATAATAAGATATATATATATATGTTAAGATTTATATATATATGTGTGTGTGTGTGTGTGATTGATTTTTTTTATTTCTATACATGGGATCAATATGATATGATATCTAATGTGAAGTTTTAGGTTCTTTGGTTTTCCATATTTATTTATTTATTTATATATATATATATATAAATTATAAATGTAATTTTTATCTATTTAACCATTGCCCCATCCCAATCTTGTCATCATGATACTGGTCTGTCCTTCGTGTTACGTTTCTCTCTGCTTTTCCAGATTTTCATTCATTTTTTAA